GATTTTTGGCCAAATTTTTTGTCAAAAATTTCTGTCTACACTTTCCACTGGAAAATATGCCAGATTTAAATAGCTAACATGTGGTTGTCATGACAACAGAGCTAGAGCATGTTCGAAAATCATAAGTTAACATATAGATGCAAATGCAACAAAGTCAGATACTGGAGGAGCTTTAGAGAATGAGAGAAAAATTTAGTGGAAAACAACTAGTGTTGGCAGAGGAGGAGAATGACAATACAAATTTTGACTAGACTGTCTGCGTTTGTAAATGTTATGTCGAGTTTTCATTATATAAGAACTGTATGTTTATTGTAAAAGTATTTGGTAACTGTAGAACATTTGCACTATCAATTAGGGGTGTCAATATTTGAAACGACACGAAAATCCAACCCGAAAATTTTGGGTTGGAAACGGGTCAAACGGGTTAGGTTCGGGTTCCCGGATTTGACCCGTTTGAAAAACAGGTCAGGTTGACCCGATGGGTTGACGGGTCAACCCGAAAACCCATTTAGAGTGAACTGCTCACGCTGCCCTAGGCTGCCCGCACCTGCCCAGGCTACCCGCGCAGCTGTCCGCGCTCTGCCCGTGGCTGCCTACGAGCTACCCGAGTTTGCCATCACAGATGCTGCAGCTCGCGAGTCATGCCGCGCGTTGCCCCAGTCTGCCCGCATCCTCGCGCCCGCGCCCGCTGCTCGACTGATCCGGGCACCCGCGAGCTCGCGTTCAGCCTGCGCGCCCGCGTGCCGTTTGCACGCCCGAGTACCCCCGTTTACGCTCGCGTTCCGCCGCCTGCATTCCATGTCGGGTCGGGTCAACCCGGCAACCCGACATGTCATGTCCGGGTTCGAGTTTCTGACCCGTTTACCTACCCGGGTCAGGTTAGGGTCGACTCGATTTAACCTGGGCCAGTTCCGGGTTCGACCCGAACCCGACCCGTGACCCGAAATTGACACCCCTGTATCAATGATCAGCTTGTGCTAAACGCGTAAAAATTATGGCAGATACGTTGTTAATCCACCAGAATTTTCGGTAGAATATTCCACAGGCAATTCGTCCAATAAATGTTGTTTTCTCTATATACTATCTGCAAGAAAAGAATGCGCTGAAATTTTCTTTCGTAAAATTATTTTTGACTCACGTTTTATCGATGGAATAAATTTCGCTAGAAATATGTCGAAAAGCTATATTTCCGACAGATATTGCATATGTTCTAATGAAAATATTCATAAGAAATAACTCATTTTCCTATAGTGTAGGAAATCCTATAATATTTAGATTCCTTCAACTTCATTATTTCATGATAAATATTAAAGGTTTGACAAATAAAATTTATGTTAGGTTGTGCAAGCTTTGTGTTCTATGTATTGGAGCCTTATAGTTTTATATTAAATTAGAATTTATTATTTGTAAAACTTTCAAGTTTTGTTCTCAAGATGTGATCAGTTGAGCATCTATTGACTTTGGGTAAGTAACTGCTATTTGTTTTAGAATAAACATATCATTCTTTGTTAGGAATGCTATTCTTGCTGCTTGTGAAGGGTTTCTGGATATTAGGTTATCATTTATATTTTCAATGTTTATTTATTACTATTGTGCAAGTTAGAAATATTATTTATGGCTCATATTGAAAACTTCATATAATAGGAATATCAATACTTCGATTTATTTATGCATGAGCTTTTATCACTTAAAAAGGTTCATGATATAGAAAATTTAATTAATACACATCAATTTTATTTAATGCAGTACATGATGCTCATGTTGTTAATAGCGTTTGATTATATAAATTATGATTGTCATATTGATTTATATAACACATGTTGATTATTTGTAAAAGCATTTGCACTATTTTATTGTGTGTATGTTGGTAGAACTCTATTAGATTTCGGCTAGCTAGGCGGACATGCCCTAATTAGATTGTCGACTCTATAGAAAATCAATAGATTACATTGAGTTGGTATTTAACTTCCCAATGATAAATTTTTGACAAATATACTATAGTTCATATGATTATGAATATTTGAATATAATTGGACAATATATGAAAATAAGGAATGCCAGAGTAATCATTTTGAAGTACAAGAATACTTAGTGTGGTGATGTGGTCTATTTGTAAGCATTAAAATGTTTTGGCATGAGTAGCTATTTGACCAGTACATGAGTATACTAGAATTTATAGTAGGAGACATGTGTAATTGTTACATTTATATAGTGACAATAAGTTACTATTTTCACCTTTTGATTGTTCATATTACATGCCTCATCCCTTTGTTGCTTATATTTTAATATATATGAGTTATTTGCTAAATTTGATTTATCAAACTCATCCAATGTCTATTTTGACAACAAGTTATTCAGGCGTGTTTAGCGGACTATCATCTCACGAGTTGAGTAACCAGTAGTTGACTGTTTTTGATATTTTATATTTTTTAGTAGTTTATTATGTTTTTGATTTTCAGGATTAGGTAATTTCTTTCCTATTAGTCAACCTATTACATTCTTTTGCTTGTCTTAGTATCATTGCTTATATATTGTGTCCTGAAATATTCGGGGCGGTAGAGAAATATAAATTTTAACGTCTTGCCTTTGTACGAAGATCTAGTACACAATAAGATGAAAAGAGATGGTGCAGTATTTATAAGAAATAATAATATTTTTATGTGAAAAACCCTACAAGGGAAAAATCAAGGGCCTAGCCTAGTTTGAGTAAATCCATTAGTATTTACAGCTTATTACAAATGAAGACCTTCATTGGACGGAAGGCATTGGCTTGATATAACAAATATACATTATATAAAATGCATTACGTGGTGGAAATTGAAAGAATCAAAATTGATAGGTTCGTTTGGTCGGCATGACCATTGTCGGCTAACGACAGAGGTTGGAAACACTTTTGTCATGCAACGGAGGTCAAAAGGGCCGTAGTCGACGGGCGACAGAGGTCAGAAGTATTATAGTTGGCGGGCGCTGAAGGTCATAAAGAATGTTGTATGGTAGTGAAGGTCAGAAGGATCATAGTTGTTGGGCAACGAAGGTTGGAAAGACCATTGTCAAGTGATAGAGGTTGGAATGGCAGTAGTTGGTGGGCGACAAAGATCAAAAAGACCATTATCGGGTGGAAGTCTAACAAGAATTGGAAGCCGGGTGGAAGTTCAATGTCAGTCGGTGGTCAGACAAAAGTATGACGTCAGTCAGCAGCGGGGGTAGAAGGTCGGCGTCAATCAGCGGCCAGGTGGAATTCCGACATTAATAGATGGAAGTCTAGCAGAAGTCGGTAGCCGGGTGGAATTCCAACGTTAGTTGGCAGAAGTCCGACGTTAGTCGGTAGCCGGGTGAATGTCCAACAACAGTCGGCGCTGGTTGATAGAAGTATGGTGGTAAGAGAACTTTTCCTTATCTTCATTCTCTTATTGCTTGGCCCTCTTCCCTCTCATGATAAATGAGATGTTTATTGCAGTTTTATGGGAGTAACATGGCTAGGAATATTAAAGATGAATTGAGAATGGTTTGAATAGATAGCCGATGTTGATTCTCTTGATCATTGACCGCTTATTGCATATTTGAATGTCTTAATGATATATCAAAATTTGATGATCTTAGGCTCGTAAGAGAAGCCGGTTTTCGGGTTGAACCGAATCGGCCGTCAGACCGGTTCACGGTCGAACCGGCCGGTCCGGTCCGGTTTTAAAAGCACTGACTATAAGTATGTCACGTTTGAAAATTGTTTGGTAATCCAACTTATGGATTGAACCTTCCAAATGTGTTTCGGGGCTTCGATTTGAACCCATTTGGGCTCTGATTGAGTAGAATTTGATGTCATTCAATTCGACTAAAAGTTTGTTGAAATTGGAATTCAGATGGTCCCCAATTAAATTTTAGAAGTTACCAAGTTGATTTTGCTTTGAGATTCATGCCCGATCAAGATAATGTTTTTATGATATATCAATATATATATTCTCACTTGGATTTAAATTATCCTCTTTGTGAATACAAAATAGATCTTATATTTCTTCATCGTGTTCAATATTTTCAACGTGTACTTGCTCCTAGACCTTTTGTATGACAGGAGTGACAAAGACTACACAATCATCAATATTGGTCGACAATAGAGTTGGACAAATACTTATATAATTATTAAATTTCTTGCAAATCCCAAAAATTTTCTATACGTTCGAACCGGTAGAAATTTAATTAATTTATAGATTTCTTTAAGGGGTGATCTAGTCTATAATTTTTTTGAGGAAATTCAAATGAGTTTTTTTGGTCCTACTTAATTTGTCTTTTAAATTTTGATAAAAGGACAAAATTTTTAAAATTTTGAAAATTTTAAAATTTTGATGAGAGCTTTTCTTAAAAATAATATAGTTATACTTTTGCACTTGTATTATACAATCGATAATTTTTTTTTAAAAATTTTAAATAAAATTGATTTTAAGTTTTTGCGCATATTCTTATAAATATTTAATCTTCACTAAAAGTTTAATAATCGGAGTTAAAAAGCCCGACCCCTCCTCCGCCACGTCGAATTATTTTAGCTTTACCTTTCTTCCTGAGCGACATTTTGACGCTGGACTCTGGGGATAAGGAGGTAAATCATAAATTTTGAAATAATCCCCATTGCAGGAGATTGACTTGAAACTTGGAACGGTGAGACTTCCATTAGATTCCTTTCTTCCGATCGTCTCTTGGATCTTTCCTGGAGCGGAATGTTGGACTTTCTACTACCATCCCTCGATCTCTTTCAAGCTTTGAGCTTTGATCTCGTTTTCTGTTGGTAGGAAAGAGACAAATGCCATTTGAATTCAGCTAAATTTTCATGCGCTAGGATTTTCCTTAATATTCTCTTGTTTTCTGCTGTTATATACGTAACAAGTTTAGATCTCGAAAATTTCTGGTTTTTCCTCTCCACTTCAGGTTGTTCTACTACGGCTTTTAGCAACCTAAACGTCGTTTTTTTTTTCTTGGTTTTTAAAACAATGCATTCTTCAAGTTGATCGATAATGGAGTCGTCTTTTCATACTTCAAAGAACAAGTCCAAGATCTTCTACCACTTCTCAAAGCTGCGCAAACCGAGATCTGCTGGATTTCGCCCCTCCGGAGAAAACCCTAAATTGATTCAACATTCCCAAATTGAGAGCTATGAAGATGAAGATGTTGGTTATTGCGATGATAGTCGAGACCGTAAAGTCCATCCCCATCCCTTCGAATATGTCCACCTTGCAGGCTCTGAACATTCGGAAGAAGCCATTGTTTCAAAACTGTTTGATTCGATTTCTGCTCTCAAATCTGCTTATGTTCAGCTTCAGCAAGCTCACATCCCTTATGAGTCCCAAAAGATTCGAGCTGCAGACCAGCTAGTAGAATCTGAGCTACTCTCGATTTCAGAACTGAAGAATTCCTATATACAAAAGCGCAGGAACATGACCGAAGCTTTGACATTTCTCCATATGGAGATTGAGGAACACAGAAAGCTTGAACGGGTAAAGAAATGTGCATTGATGGCCAAGGATTCTGATATTCAAGATTTGAGGTCTAAGATTAAGTCGGTGATTGAAAGGAATAAAGTGTTAGAAGCTTTGATCAACAAGACACAATTACCTGAAGTGGAACTGTTTGAAACCAACCAGGCATGGACGCCTCAATTGTTTTCCAAAGTTTTCATGTTGGCATCTAAATCGATACATGATTTTACAAAATTATTGATTAACTTGATGAAGGCGTCAAGTTGGGATCTAGATCTAGCTGCTAATGCTATCTGCAATTCAATCACCTACACTGAATGATCTCATAAAAAATTTGCATTTGAGGCTTTTCTCTCCCATGTAATGCTTGGTTGCACTCATGATGAATGCTTTAAGCCATGTCACTTTGAGCAAGTTATGCACCTTGTTGACCCCTTTGATGCTCTGATGCAAGAACCAGATTCTGAATTTGGGAGATTTTGTCGATCCAAGTATCTTGATGCAGTTCCTTCGAAGATGGAGGGATCATTCTTTGGTAATTTGGATCAGAGATCGTTAGTGTTAAGCGGTCAACATCCAAGAACACTTTTTTATAAATCGTTTGTGAGAATGGCAAGAAGGGTCTGGGCTTTACAGGTTATCGCACATTCCTTCATTCCAAAAGCGCAGACCTTCTATTGTAAGAGAGGGACTAAGTTTTCAAAGCAGTATATGGAGAGTGTGGTCAGCACAAGTCATCTGGTAATGCCAACTGAAGAGCTGGGGTTTGATGTTGCGTTTACAGTGATGCCAGGGTTTAGTATTGGTAGTCATATCAACCGTTGCAAGGTTTATCTCTGCAGGATAGGCTCTTAGGGCATCTCCAACTGAAAAACCCATTTTACACTCTAAAATGTAGTAAAATTTCAAATTTGCGTAATTCATCTCCAATCGAACTTCATTTCTCTCCTCGTTCGCACGTTTCCTGTGAAGGTAACCATCTCTCTACTATGTTGCACGCTTTTCTCCTCTTTCCCGCTCTTCTTCGGTAAATTCGCAGGCGAGGGTTTTTTGGCACAGGTGAATAGTCCGAATTTTGACGTGAGATTTGGAGTTCAAATACAACGAATGGCAGACGACATACGGTGGTATGCAGTTCGATTGGAGATGATCTTAAAGGAATTGCATTTTTGTAAGTTCAAGACAAGCTCTTTCTTCTTGTAGGTGAACCATATATATATACATTGATTTGGGATGTTGAAGTGGCTCTTGTAGACCTTCCTATGGTAAAGAAAACATTGGAATTGCCGAAAAATTGTAATATAAACTTGTGATTGATACTATTAGTTTTTGTTCAGCACTATATAAGCAGTTATAGACCTTGGCTGAGAATGGAGGAATTAAATTACCATTCAATCGGAATTACAAGAAAATTTGAATGACCTTTTGAACACATTGAAAATAGAGTCCCAGCTAGATGAATAAAGCACCAACAACGCTATAATAGCATGAAAACCTCATCTTGAGAAGAGCTTGAAGAAAAAGTTGGTAGATTTGGAATCCCCCAAGCATGCCACATGAACATATCTTCCAAACTTGTCGACTTGCCTCGGCTCCTCTCTGGTGTCTCTCTTGCAAATCTTGCATGTTTTGTCCACCCACCCTTCTTCCACATATTGGCCTTTAACTGAGGTTGAACAAACAGAGTAATAAGATTTCCAGCAAATGTCCATCACAGTTACGAGTTAGCAGTTATTTAAATAGGTCAGTCTGTTCTTAAGTTTTTGTAGGACCTGTTTATCTATTAGTCTGTTTAGGATTTTTTTCTTTTTTTTTTTTTAATTTTGTTTTCAAGGTGCTGTCTTAGGTAAAATTATAATTTTCTTGCTTTTAAAATTCTTTTTCTAGTGAGGAATAATTTTGTGCAATTAAATCATTTAGAGTGTGGTAGCTCTAAAAAAATTTATCATCTGATTTTTTTTAAAGAAAAAATTATAATATCAACAATAATTTCATAACAATTTTTCCCAAATAAACCCTATAGTATGCTTGGAGCTACCCTTTCATAGATTTATTTTTTAGATAAGAGCTCGTTTTGTTTAGCTATAGCTTCATGTTTGTTTTTATCATGAAGAAGATGGGTGAGCTTGTGCCCTCAACTTTAAGCTGGGTGCAACCAAGCTCAATTCAACTTATCTATCTCTCAATACTCAACTTATTTACCCCTTAATACTAGGTTAAAAAGCATGACAAACGAGCTCACCATCAACATAAGATTTGAAGAAATCCTTGTAGGTGCCACCAATCTTCCTCCGAAGGGCACCGTACTGAAACAAATATAAACCCTCAATTCTTAACGTAATTGCAACACAAAACAATCAATCAAAAAGAATAAGAAGCCATCAATCAATCCTTTATACCTGCTCTCTGTTCATCTGGCCTCCGGATTTAGTGGCCTCCTTAGCTTCTTCAATAAGCTGGGCATCCTGAGAAGATCTGGCCTGAGAGAAATCTAGAGCCTCTGTGATGCTACTGAACAGAGACTGCTTACTTATCTTCTGCTCGCCTTCTTCTCCCCCGTTCTGTTCACCTGTAGCCCGAATTCCTCCAACTCTTGTAGTAGCTCTATTGCATCTAAGGCTTATGGATTTGGAGGACAAACTTATTGATTTGGGAAAGCAGTTATGAGAAGAGGAGAGAGGAAGAGCCCTCATGCCCATTCTTTCTTTTCTACTACCTAGCTGTTTTTTCTTGAGTAATAAGAAATCTAGAGTTATATCTGAAGCAGAAGGAAAAGGCCAATAAACATATTTACATGGAAGGACGCAGTTGTGCCACGTGGTCTCTGTGATGCCTCCGTAGACGTGGCACAACACAACTCAGTAAATAATTCTGATGGATAGGTTAAGACTTGCCTCTCAAGTTGAGAGGCTGAACCAACTAAAAGTCTCAAAGGATTTAGTGGCGTTGCTTTGTTTGAGCCAATACCACATATATTTCACAATTCCATAATAGAAATTTGAGAACAATATGTAAGCTGCATTCAGAAATTATTCTGACCAAGAGCAGGACCAGCTTAACTAGAATCATAATAGTCTGATGTCTATGGCTTCGTTTGATTCCCCTCGACTTTTTTTTTTCGTTCTTAAACGAAGGTATTACAACGGAGAACTAGAAATTTTTTTCTTCCCGGATAGGCAAAAATACGGAGGTGTAGCAAATGGTATTTTGAAAAAGTCGTGTAAACAAACAATAAAATAATAATTTTTTCGCCTATTGAAATTGGAAATATATAACTTACAGCCAACCAAACGAGGCCTATATAACATAGAAATTGTGTACAGGGGTAGCAAGGGATTGGAGAATGAAAGGTAATCTATTTTCTCCTGACATCACCTCTCACCAAGCAGATGCAAACTGATGAATCAAGCTGTCCCGCTCTAATAAATTTACAATTTCAAGGCCGGAACTACAGCACCTGCCTTCCCAATTGGGCTTCTAGGGGGAAATTACAAGTTAGAAGGCGCGTTTTAGGCTTTGTTTGGGACGGATTTTTTACTGTTTCTTAAATTATCTTTCTAGCACAAAAAATTTAATTTTTGTACTAAAAAATTGCTTTAAGAAGTATAAGAAAACCGTCCCAAAACGAAACCTTAGACACAGAATGAATTGTTTACAGTACACAACTTCAAAACACATAGACCATGCCAACTTCAAGAAGTGAAGCTGGAGGCACACGGAGAGCTACTTCAGGGCCACGGCAGTTCCTTTTCAGGAAGTTGTAACCAATGTCTATTGCAAACTTCTTGAAGATGTGTGAACCTGGCTTTGTCTTTACATGTGAATTCCCCAGAATGAATGCAGTGCCAGCCTCACATGCCTCATATAGATCATTAAGCTCTTCACTCACTGGGCTAACCAAACTCGGACCGCTTCTCTCCTCTATCAAGAATCTCACCTTCTTGCCAACTACTGCAGGTTTTATCTCTGCATTGCTCTCACTGCTTGACAATTCCACAGACACACTACCAAAGCCAAAGGTTTCTTCTATCTCATTGATACAAGAACTTCCAATAACTGTTAGTCTTCTATCAGCTTCATCCATTGATTGTCTTTCATGGCCACTGTCATACTTCGCTTCCATCCTTATAAAGTCGGAAAGGCTAGCTACAAGTTCGGTCTCAAAAGAGTTCACATCCTGGTGCACATCACGATACCCATATCGAACAATGCACCTATACGATCGATGTTCTTCAGGCCCGACACGGCCTAAAAGGTATCTTTCAGCAGGAGGCACAAATGGGACAGGTACATATTTGATGCAAACGAAGACGACGATGCGGTGGTAGGCAGGAAGGTTAGTGATGAAACGGGAGAAGTTTGAAGGAACTCCAGAAATAAGATCAGTGTACACAAGGCCGATTCCAGGTACACGTGCAACTCCAATGTTCTGACCCAGGGCCAAGAGCCATTCAATTGACACTTTGTTTTGGAAATCATGTTCATACTTCTTAGTTGTAGCATAATGCCAGATGAACATGATGGACATGAGAAGGATGGCAAGAAGGATTGGTAGCCAAGCACCATCAAGAAACTTTGTGAGAGAAGCAGAGAAGTAGAAAATTTCAATGGAGCCAAAAAATATGAGGAAGGATAGAGCTAGAAGAGGGGATCTTTTCCAGGATAGGATCATGACCAAGGATGTGAGACATGTGGTTACCAGCATTACTGTCATCAACGCTAGACCTGCACAGTAGGAGAGTTTTTTATTAAATTAATCAACAAGGAATTTGAACTACGACCTTACTGTCTTTAATAATTTTAGGGTTTAATCCAAAAAACAAAAAGCTCAAATTCAAGCATTACTGATAAACAAGCCACTGGTAGAGAAAAGGGAGGAAAAATTACCATAACATTGTGCAAGCGGATGGTAATCAGAACATGAAATGGGCAAAATCTAATGTATGGAGCTCCCATCAATGCAGGGCCAATCTGAGATCTAGGAGGGATTTTTTTATTGGGAAATTTACATATATACTACTTTATACCATCCTATGTACATATTTAACACCCAAAACTTTAATATTACATACATATCACCATATATTATTTTAATATCAAATATATCATTAATATTTCCTTCCTATCACTCATATATTTCATTTCTACCACTCTTATTTGATATGAAAATGAACTATGGGTGGTATATATGTAATATTAAAGTTTTAGATGTTAAAAATGTAATAGAATAGTATATGATGATATGTATGTAAATTTTCCTTTTTTTTGGGCGGCCGGGGGGATTCACAATATTTGAAAATTACATCCCAAAAAACATAGGGAGTGAATATCAAATGAGGATTCAAAACATTAGAAAGTGAACAAGTTCCATCAATGCATAACAAGGAACTTTCATGTTACAAGTGAGGATTGAGGAATCAATAGAAAACGAAAGTAATATTGATGTAGTTGAAAAGTAGCCCTACCTTGTGCATTTCCCAAGTGCTTCAAGTTTCTAAACCCAACAGCAACAGCTATGCATAGGATCATAAGTATCCAATTGATCTCTGGTATATAAATCTGACCACTTATCTTGTCAGATGTGTGAATGACCTTAACCCTTGGGAAGCAACCATGAGCTTGGCTCTGGTTTATGATGGAGAAGGTACAGCTAATGATTGCCTGGCTTCCAACTGCAGCAGCAAAGATTGCCAATATAAGCACAGGCCATCTGATCACTTCTGCATAAAAGAAGGGAAATTTTCAATGCATTAAAGTCAGATCAGCAAGTCTGCCTTAAAGTTCAGATTATAGTGAACAATAGAACAAATAAGAACAAAAATACAAATATTAATTATTTCAGTCAAGAATGAAAAGTCTTTCAAGCTTCCTTTAATTTGCAAATTAAATGGGTTGGTATCTTGGAAATAAAAGATTAGGCAATCTAATGACGCAACACTCATTTATAATAGCCGAGCCTAGCTTTTCTTTGCGAGAGGTTAGATGAAATACAAATGGGCATTGATGACATTTAAATTTTAATAAAACTTAATTTTTTTTAGGCTCGCTGAAATAACTGTAGAGTGACAATGAAAACTCAAACAGCCAAGCAAAAGGAAACAAGAAATAATCAGAATTCTGGTTGTGGATTATTTTTCATAGCTAATTCTTACGGGCTAGTTTATTTTACTGTAAGTGCTTGGATCTCAATTCCAAAAGTGAAATTTTTCCCCAAATTGATGTCTCCCTCCCTCTTCATCTCACTCTCTTGCAAGAAAGCTCAAGAAGCGCTCAAGAATTCCTCACAATTTGCTAACAATATTGAGGTGAGCTGCAGTGATATTTAATTGTTTTATAAGACTTTTGTAATGATTACTCCTTTAGTTATTGGATCTATCTATAATGACCTGACTTAAATATGATAAAACTTGCATGATTATTTATGATTGCTGAGTTTCGTTGGATATTTAGATTTAATTTTATGCCTAGTTTATTCATCGGTTTATATGATTTTGATTTGGAAAGAATTTAAGTACAATTTACTGATTTTTGATACGATGGAAATTGACCTTAGTGCATTGAGTTAATTTTTTAAGATTTATTCTATCTCCAATTTGTCATGGATAGAATCACTAGACATTTGCAAGATGTTGTACTCTAGTATATGCTTTTTGCTGATGATATTCTTTTTGTTGATAAGACTAGAAAGGGGGTTGAAGATAAACTTGAATTATAGAGGTCAACCTTAGAGTCTAAAAGTTTTTATTTTAGTAGATCTAAAGTTGAATATATGGAGTATAATTTTAGTAATAATAGATCTAGTGTGGGGATTGTGACTTTTGACGATCGAGTCATTAATAAGAGTACATGTTTTAGATATTTTGGGTCTATTGTTCAGAGAGATGGTAAAATAGATGGGTAGATTATTAGTAGAATTCAAGTTGGATGGTTGAAGTGGAGGAATGCATCGGGCTTCTTGTGTTATAGAAAAACTCCCCTCAAACTTAAGAAAAAATTCTATAACATGGTAGTGAGATCTAAAATGTTTTATGGTGTAGAATGTTGGTCATTAAAAGAGAAGCATAATATTAAGTTAAGTGTTGCAGACATGAGGATGCTCAGGTGGATGAGTCACTTTACTCTTAGAGACAAAATACGAAATGAGAATATACGTGAAAAGGTTGAAATAGCTCCAGTGGAAGATAAGATTAGAGAGAGTCTCCTTAGATGGTTTGGTCACATAAAACGACGACCTTCCAATGATCCGATTAGGAAAATAAATGTATTAGATTTGGCTTTTGTTAAGAAAGGTAGAGGTAGACCTACAAGACTTAGTTATAAAATATTAGAAATGACATTTCTTTATTAGATTTAAATGAGAATTTGACTCTTAACATGACACAATGGAGAAAAATGATTCATGTAGCCAACCCCATGTAATGGGTAAAGGCTTCATGTTGTTGTTATAGGTTGCTGTCAAAGACCCTTCATCGGTGCAACAATTTACCTACAAATATGGGGAGTAGGCATATGATGAACATAAGCATTCACAAGCTTTCATAGCTGAAAGCAATGAACACTATGGCACCTTTATGATCAATTATCGTTTAATGTTGATCAAATACATTGATCTATTGCAATCAAACACCGGATGATGCGCAACAAATGTGGCAATACCCCTGCGAATACAAATGAATGAATTTGAGTAAGAAAATTGGAGCTGATGATAATCTTCATGGAAATTATGTAGAAAGATGCAGTAATCCCTACTACATTCACTTGCAAACACCATGAAGGAGAAAGGTCCTACGAGATCTAAGTAGGGTCCAGATAAGCATAAAGGAATTGTCGGGGAATATAGTCTAGTCAACATCAAGATTCAAATGAGCCCATTGACCTGTATGCAAAAGGCAACGAGAGATATGCTGCCGATGTAAGGAATCTCATGATCATACAGGAGTTTGTGTGAGGGTTCAATGACACTGTAGGAGACCCATTCCACATTCAATATGTCAATTGTAACCAGAAGAATACAACATGCAGTGAAAACGATAAATTATTAATTCATGCCAGTGGTCACTGATTTTGAAGTACATGGCATCAGTAAGGACGCAGTCATCCAAAATTGAAATGATTGATTCTTTAATTAAGCCAAAAGCAGAAAATGATGATGATGGCATAATAAGGGAATTGCTTGATGATTTTTTATACAAATTCTGTGAAGAGAAAGCTAGATCAAATCAGTATTTTTAGGAATGAAAACCCAAAGGTGAAGGATATACAGTATACAATAGTTCCTATGGGTAGCTGTAGAAGACCCGTTACGCATCCAACATATCACCTACGGACGAATACAAGAGAACTACATCAAATGCGAGCTTCTATAGGCCGTTGTAGGGAATTCCACCATATATCCAAAAATTCCCCGCACATGCATTGTAATATGTATGCATACATGTATACAAAAAGGGAAAGTGCAATCACAAAACCTGCATGGGCTTCGACGAGCATGTTATGGGTACACATGACGTCTAAGGATGTTGCACGGGTCAATAAGTGAATTTAAGTTCGAACCCAATCCTTCTATATGGCTAAATAGAAGTCGACAAAGTTCAAACTATCGAACAAATACACGATCACGACAGCGATCAGAATATTTGTTTTAATACATTCATATTAGACCTTCAAGGCTTATAACCAATAAATTTTACTGAAATATGTATAAAGCTTGCAAAGAACCTGATCCTCCATTGACAAGCAGACAGAGCCGACAAGGTTCAACCCATAAAATACAATGACCCCATATATCCTAATGATGGGTGTGTTGAACCAAAAAATCTCAACCGAAGGGGTCAATTCCAAATGTTCTAAATACACCATAAATGCCTCGAATTCCCATAAAATCCAAAATTTCAAAAATACCAAAACTCCAAGATATTTAAAATTTAAACTAACCATTAACCACTTAAAGCACAAAAAAATTCATCCATCCTCTGCAACGGTTTACCGAGGTGGACAATATTAAAAACTACTCTTGCTTAAAAAGAGCTAATGTCTAGTCGTGAATATCATTTGGATTCATTCTCAATATGTCACTTGTCTGCAAGAATATGGCACGTGTCCTCTAACTAGTGGTTTCACTATCAAATTGCACCGCATGATAAATGATTATGACAGGGGTCCTTTGAACCGGGTGGTTAGCCACCAAATGGGTCACTAAATTATGGTTATGGCCAGAGCCCGTATGCACCTCAATGGCATCAAATCTTTGAGATATGAATCAATATGATATAATCGATGGGCACAAAGCCCTCTATTAGCTAAGGTGAATTCAAATTTGTTCCCTTAGACAAACATTCATCCCAAGTCTATAAGATTCCCTTCGACGATGCAACTCATGGTTGCCGACAAGAATCCTTCTGTTAGGTTGAGTCAACTACCTCATTTGACTAAGTTGACCAGGGACCATGATGGCCTAGGATGACAGAACTATGGAATCTTGATCGGGTCCATCATCCATTCCCCCACCATCCTCTTTAAGTGCAAAGTGGTAAAATTTTTAATTTTAAATATCAAATTCTCCAATACTTTAGACCCATGCTGCTACCATACACCCGAAAATATTTATCTACAGATATAACGTATCTCATTGATGACTAGCCTTAATCGAAAGTTCTCTCTCGTTATCGGGAGTGGTAATTAACTATAAGGACTTGCGTCTATAGGAAACCAAAACTCAGATCATAAAGCCCTCACAAAATGAGGGTGAAATCTCTGGGTAGTGCCTTATCTACAAGCCTAATATGCCTTCCTAAAATTTACTCCGGAACCTAATCTGTTAAAACTCCCCTGAAAAACAATGGGGGAGGCAGGGGATGAATTTTCAGAGCCCACAATATTATAGGCAACTTGATGATTTTGATATATGGTTGGGAAATTGGGATAGGACTAATGATGATGATGTTGACAACTAGACAATTTTCAAGATATGCTAAACCTAATAGAAATGCACACTAATCGACTGACAAATCTTAAATATAAGCAATTTGAGCATGGCTAAGACCCTTTGGTCCAAACTCAAACTCAACATAAACTTGAATATCCCCTTAAACTGAGCCAGCTTGACTCAAAATCAATGACTCAAATTTCTTCGAAGTTGGACATGTAAAGATAAGCTTATTATTGCTTCCCAAACCTAATCTAAAATAAATTTGGGCGTTAGCTAATGATACATAAGTATCTATAAATGAGTACATATATAAGCACACATAGTCATCTACTTAAGCATGCATTTATATGAATAATCATCTACACACTTGTAGATAAATAAACATATAACACTCAAGTTCTCTTAAATTCCTATCAAGCAAGCCGTTCTTGGTTCCAAAATGATTTGCCCTATAAATTTTTACAGGCAATTTCAAATTAATTGATATAATTCTAGTTAGATCAAGTTATTTTTGGACTATTATCAAGTTATTTCATTTTCGTGCATACTATCAACTTTACAAAGTTCCCAATATGGATTATGTATAAAGCAATAGCACCAGAAGATTTATAACTCGACAAGGATTAAGCACTATGATGCACACACACGGATACAACGACACGACACAACACGATACGGACACGACATTTTTTGAAAATATAGGACACGGGTACAGCGCGAACACGACATTACATTTTTTTTATATATTGTATAGATATTCATGTAATATCATATTAGAAATGACAAATAATAATAAATGAATGGCATGATAATTTGTCTAGCTTATAATATAAAATGTTTAGTACAAAATGTCTAGTACAACCATAAAAATATAAGCAAATAATCATTTATTACAACATCAAGCATTTAAGCTTCAACTACTAAGATTAGCTTCAGAGGTTTGTTTTTTGCCTTAAATATCATCATCATTGAATATCATTACTTTCAACTTTGTTTCATCAAGAGAAAGATTTGCAATAGTTCATTGCTTATCATATAGTGAAAGTTGGTTCTTCTTTGTATCTATTTACTTCTCTAGTTCGCTAGTTCTCTCCCATAATTTTAATTAACCTCTAATATAAATCACAAAGAATGTATCCATTTACTTTTATAATTCTCTAATCCTCTAGTTCTCTCTCATAATAGTTCATTTGATATCATATATTATTCTTTATTCTATTAATCTTAAATCTTTTCTATTCTAAATATTTTCTAACTTTTCACCTATTTCAACAAATCTCATCAACTAGAATTACAATAAGGAAAGCACATAAGGATATTTTAGACAAAATAAAAATTCTTCATATTCCATGTCACTAAAAATTGCAAACACAAATAGGCATAAAAGTTTTCAATAATCATTACTGCCTCTCAAAAAAAAAAAAAAAGATTCATTCTTTAATAATCATACCTTTCAATAATCATATTAATATACAAGTGAATATGATGTTTTATTTGATTTAGCAAATATAAAAATATAAAACTTTTATAATTTAAAATAATTTTATCATAAAAAATTAGGACACGTGTGTCCCAGCCATGTATGACACGTGTCCCAGCCATGCTGGGTTAAATTTAAACATTACTTTAATTGGACACATGTCCGCCGTGTCCCAACTGTGTCGGACACGGACACATGTCTATGTCCGACACTGGATTCTCTTTTCAAGAGGTGAGTCAGTGCATCATAGATTAAGCATTAAAGTACAAATAATACTCATTGTATATTAGGTAGCTCATGGCAAGTAATCTAACACGTGTGCAAAGAAGAAGCCACAAAATTTACCTGGAACGTAAACATAAAATCCAATTTTGTAGCCAGAATCAATCATATGATGTTTTGATAGATAAGCAGCTTGACCCATATACGCCAAAATAAGTGATGGATAGACTATCAATGTGAATGCAATCTGAAATTGGTAGAAAATAAGAAAATGGCATTTAAACCTTCAAAAGAAAAATAAACCAGCAAAAAGCACAAGAAGTACCTGCATGGATAAGTATGAGAAGTGGCCAAGATCTGCAAACATTGCTTCTGATCCTGCAATACATTCCATGAAACTTAGGAAAACTCTACATACCGATCAACAAAATTTATGCTAGCTACTTCATTAATAAAAAAAGCAATATACTATTTCTGTGCCACCATGAAAAATCAGAACCCTTCAAAATAACTTTACTTCCCGCAAAACAAAATCTTTGCAGCCAAAAGAAAATGATGATAAACTTCAGTGGGTTAAAGACTTAATGAAGCAATAGATGGAGGGTTAACCATATTTATGTAAATATAGAGAATTTCATAAACATCTTTTTTAATGTTTGATTCAAAAAGGTACCTGTGATGCATAACAAGATCCCCCCCAATGACATCCAGCCACCTTTCTTTGTTTTTTTCAAAAAGTTGAACATATAGTATGGAGAAAGGGCCTGGAAGATGCTTGGGTTCCACGTAGCAATATTGTATATGCCAAGTGCACTGATGCAAATCAGCCAGACCAATATGATGGGGGCAAATAGGAAACTAACCCGGTGAGTGCCATAATGTTGAAGTGCAAAAAGACACATAATTATGAAGCAGGTGATAGGAACCACCGCATCTACATAAAGCAAACAATGAGGATCTCATTAACTGCACCAAAATTCATCATAACTGATAATATCGAACAGATAGTAACAGATATTAATTTGGCAGCATTTTAAAATAACAAGCAAGCTGTGTGAGAGAGAAGATCATGGCATTAACGAAATAACTTCTCCTCGAAAAATTCTACTGATGCGGAGTATTTAAACTAAGTACAGTTTTAGGAATAGATTAGCTCTTGTACCTAATTCTCTAGTGTTTTCTAGTATATTCTATAGCCAGCTTATATATGGAGCATTGTAGTACGATGGGTGTATTGATGAAAATATATTCTCTTTGAAATTTTTTGAAGCTTAGTTCTTGTCTTTGTTCCCTGGATTGGGAATTTCCTTCAAACATGTCTGATTCTTCCGACGATCACCACATCATCTACTTTTTCTTGCTACAGGTTTCCATATACTTATTTCATCGGATCATTTGGTGAGCTGCTTAATAGCAGGGGATACAAAGAATGGGCAATTTTCAAACCTCTACTATTTCCATGATAGCAATTGTTGTACAAAAGCATTAAATTGTCTGAGAAAAGCTAAACTTAAGTTCTAAATTGTCACATCCAGTGAGTGAACACATTCCGTCATGTAAAACAATATTTAGCACCTCATACAACCAAAGGATATAATTATTTTATCTGATTCAAGATGTATAATTCATATAGATAAACATTAATCATAAATTCATTCTAAAGTAGTATTGAATTTAAACTTCAATCATAAGTAGAATGATTAAATAAGAATGGCCCCTTCAAATGAAATGATGTAGCAGCTGATCCACTAGCCTCCCCAAATCATAATTCATCTGAACAGGTACTAAATTTGGTTAAGCCAAAAGATCTGCAATTAGCCAAGTCAAATCAAAACCAATGGATTTCATACAAGCTTAAAACAAGCATTGAGACATACGGTATCAAATTGGGACTTCAATTCATTCTTAATGGGTCCAAATAATTAATTTTAGGCATGATTTCATGACACTGAACAAAAGAGGCCAATTTTAAAAAAGATTATCAAGCATGGAGAAAATAAAGGTTCAAGGAAACAAATGGATCTTCCGATTCCTATGCAAAAAGGAGATAAGGTAAGGAAATGATCCAAAATTCAAGCTGAATCTGATAAACAAGATGGGTCGGGCACAAAAGGAGATGTGAGTCAATGTAAATAAATATAATATTCTAATTTCAACCCATAAAATCCTTTTTTCTTTCTCTTGGTGGTCCTGAATTCATATTCTGAGGTGATCATTTTTAGTCAGCAATTATTCTATTTAGTTGTTTTTTTTTTTTTTAACTTTTGAGCCAATTAAGGCAAATGCATACACACAACACATGTGCAAGCTTCAAATCTAAGACCTCTTGTTGGTAGCTAAAACTCTCAATCAACAGATCAAGGTGTGTTGTATGATCTTGTTAAAGTAGTTCCTACATTTAGGCTAGATTTGAAGTTTCATATAATTCTATTATTTTATTTATTAAGTGAATGGATGCCTATTTTCTTTATGCATGAAAAGCAATACAGGAGGAATTCCCAACAAACCCTAGATTACAAGAAACCGAAGATTTACATTCTTAATTTCAAACAGAAACTTTTATCATGTTTGCTCTGCTAGGGAATTCCCAACCCACTCTATTCTCTGCTGGTTGGGTGGCCTCCATTGCCTGCTTCTTCCTTTTCTAGCCCTGTAGCATTTTTTTCTGTTTGCTTTGTTCGGTGGGTTGCTGGCGTTGTGGATTTCAGAGGAGGAAGTCCAAGCACTCGTTTCTCCTTTTGAATTCGCATTACTTGGCAAATTTCCAGGCCGAATACCTTCCATTGACACTATTAGAAAATTTTTCTTCAATATGAAATTGAATGGTGATTGTTAGGTCACTATCCTCAACCCTAGGAATGTCTTGATCAAGTTGTTCAACGATTTAGATTACTGTAAGGTTTTTGCTCATCGTTCATACTTTGTGAGTAACTATTTTATGAAATTAGTTAAATGGACACCATCTTTGGATATTGATGTTGATTCTCCTATCATTCCTATTTGGATTTTGTTTCCTAATTTGCGGACTCACTTTTTCTCTCCACGTATACTCTTTGGTTTGGGCTCCCTGTTCGGTCGGACTTTAAAAACCGATACTGCTACGGCTTTTGGTTCTCGTCCATCTGTTGTCCGCATTCTTGTGGAGTTGGATATCTCCAAAAAAAATTCGGATAAAATTTGGATGGGTTTTGATAAATCAGGTTACATCCAGTCGGTGATAATGAAAGAATTCCCTTCTTACTGCGTGCATTGCAATTCATTAGGTCATTCGAAAGAGGATTGTCGTATTTTACATCCTCATCTCAATCCTTCAATTAAACCCCTTCCAGTCAATTTAGAGGCTCATCCCTCTTCAGATACTCTATGCATTGTTGGTGACAGTGTGAAAAATCCTATTGTAACTCATGTTAAGCCGAATGAGGGTGAGGCTAATGGGGAAAATTTCACTGAGGTTGCTGATCTTGTTTAGGGAGTTGCCAACCCGTCGTTTGTTGCTTTGCCGGTGGCTCCTTCATGTGTAATTAATGAGGATGTTGTTGAGGATCATGAGCTGAATCATTGCTTAGTCAATTTGGTAGCTCGTCCTATTGTTTCTCCAGGTTCTAATGTGGATGTCAGTGATGATGAACTTGTGATTTTCGGTGATCCTGTGGACCGTGATTTGGTTTCACCTGCGAGTGGGATTTTGCCTGTTGAGAGTGGTGAGATGGCTAATTCTTTGGTTACAGCGGCACAATTTAGCCCTTTGTTGTTTGAGGATGTTAATGTTAATGTGCTTCTGGTCGATGTGCTTATATCAGTTATTTCGAGTGATCCTTTGTTTGCTCAACTTGCTTGTAAATCAAGAGATAAGGAGGTGTTGAATGATGACTGGTTTGATGATGGCATTTCCTATGCTGGTGGGGAGGAAATGAATGAGAAAGAATTGGAGTCTTGGGATAATTTTGATTCAAGTATTTTTCAAATTGTTGACGTTGATTTTTTAAAAAGAGTGGTAAGCATAGAAAACAAAAATCCTAAAAGAAATGATTTTTTTGTTTGAGTTTAGCTTTCTTTCTGCTATTGGAGCATGCTTGCTTGGGGGTGATTTCTTTTGTTGATTAGTGTGGGTGCTGCTCTCAGTTTTATTGAACGGATTGTTTTGGGGAGTTTGTTGGTTTGGCTTTCACGGATTGAGGACCGGGCAATGATGTGGAGCTTTTTTAATCATCACCTGAACGTTGTGGCTTTTTCTTGCTCTATGCGGTGATCTTTTTGGGATATCAGATTATGCTTTGACCATTTCATCTGTGTGGGCAATTGCTTGCTTCCTCCTCTGGATGATTTGGTGGTAAAAAGCTTCTTGCCGATGATTGAGCCCGGCTGACTTTTGCCTTTTCCACTGCTTGTTGTTTCCTCTTTGATGTTTTTTGTATTGTGTTTTTGTCTTTTGTCCTTGGTAGGACTTGTATCTATTTTATTTTTGTTAACGCGTAGGTCCCTTTGTGGGTTTTATCAAAAAAAAAATCTTAATTTCTTCCAAAAACCCCCAATATTACATAAAAATTCTACTTCTTCCATAGCATTATGCATCATTTTTCTCAAGTTAAGAAGATATCACAATCCTATTGTATTGTAATGTCAGGTTGATTCTAGATCAATAGCAAAAATAAATTAAAGTTTGCATTTGAAGAGCTAATTATATATTTGAAATTAAATATGCCCATGTTCTGCTCATCACTAAATAATTTTCTAAAAACATGAAGGAGTATATATCAAGGCGCAAAAAAATAGCTCGAATTTTGGAAGGTAAAATAAAACTTACATTCGTGGTGCTGCTTTGACATTGAAAGTTCAAGTCCTGAAACTGCTGAGAAAACTGAAGGATGAAAGTAAAAAACCATTAGCAAACACTTGAAGAAATTTGGCAGATTACAGTGTTATCATTCTAGAATGAGGAAAATGCACCTGACATAGTTGGAGTCAGGACTCCATCTCCAATCACCATACCAGTACCAAGCATTACTACTATAAGAAGAACAGTGTGCAAGTTTTTATGCTTCTCCAGCAAAATTTTGATTCTCGAATTAGTTTCTGTTTCAGTTGGGGGCTCTATTGTGTATGTAGAAAGTTGTTCATCAGCAAGCTGCCTATTTGGCAGAAGGCTGACATTTGCATGTCTGCATATCAAGGAATATAGAGCAAAAGTACCACCTGCAGCAAAACAAAGATAATTAGATCCCTAAGAACAAACCCCTCACTAAAAAGAAAGATCCATCTAGTCGATACTTACCCTCGCCATTATCATCTGCTCTAAGAACTATGAAGACATATTTGAACAGAGGGAGAAGGGTAAGGGTCCAGAAAACAAAGGAAAGCGCACCATAAATCTCTATATTCGAATCAGAATGTTCAATATCTTCTGCAAATGTGGATTTGTAAACATATAGAGGAGAAATACTCAAGTCACCATACGCGACTCCCAAACTCTGATATGCCAGAAGCAAGACGGCCTTCCACGAAACCTTCTGAAACAAATAATTGGAACACAAGATATCAGGAAGCTTAGTTCCTTCCCAAAAGATTACAGACACAATGATCGGGGAAAAAAAAATTGCCACATAAACAAAATATCCTGAATCACTTAAAAAAAGAGCACCAGAATCAAAATACAACAATATAAGACATGTAGATTTAATTTGAGCAGCTTTAGCAAGGCGAAAGTTCCCAAGAAATGCTAAAAGTAAATCGATCGATATCCAAACAATAATAACAGTATAATTTCTAGTCTGAAACTACCTTTTGATGATCGTCGCTTTTTCCAGACTCGGGATCCATAGTAAAATTCCACAAAAATGCTGAAAATTGCTTTTTTCTCTCTAAAAACCAGCCCAACAAAACAGTATAAGTTACTCAAAAAGAAAGAAAGTGATGAAATAATCAAGAAAGTGAAATCGATAAAGAAGAAGACAAAAGGTAAGCTAAAAAATTCCGCCTTACGGCAGATCTCTGTCAACAATGCTACGAAACCTAATAAAGGCTGGAAGAAATCAACACCTTTCACTCCCTGGTCATCTGTATTTCCATAAATTAAGAGAAACCGCACTACCAATTATTCTCCAACTTCAAAAGCATTCAAAGAAGGGAAGGCCAACCATAAAAATTTTCAAATGAGAATCAGCCACTTGTGAGAAGACAACTTCATTATCTTTTAAATTAGAAGAACAAATCCAAATTTAGGTGAGAATAAAAAAGTGAAAACTGCATAGCAGAGTGACATCTAGAAACATGAAAGAGACGTGCCACGGCATCGAGATACGAAATTCATGGATGATATAATCCACTGTAAGTGAGCAATACCAATCCCCCTCTACGTTCGGGCGCCCACTACATTAAAGAAATCGAAGTTCTATTTTTTAATCATCTGATGCATGCATGCGGTGCACCAACATTTTTTCTCAATAAGATGTGCATACTCGTATCTGGCATCACAAATGTCTTCCACTCCTCCAATACATGTCGAATACGTCGAAAATGTGTCATTTGACACGTGTGTTTGACAAGAGTCTTAAATATTTTATAAATTTTTTAAATATAATTTATTGTATTTTGCGGGATTTAAACTAAATTTCTTATTTCTCCATAGTCTAAGACCGAGTGGC